TTCGAGAATCGAGCTGCTTTGAGGGGAGAATATTCGTGGGTGAAAACAGCACCTGATCCGGAATAGGAACCCGACTTTTCTACGCAGCGCAATGGGATAAGTCCAGAAATGATCAAAGATCGGGATGTTTCCATCCCTCATATTACCCGCCCTTTCTAGGTCCCCGGTTATTAGTCATCCTTACCAAGTGCTGCTACCAAACGGTCGCATTCAATCATTCAATCAAATTGTGGAACTTTGCTTGCTGTGTTTTCCCCGTCAATCTCTAGGTCTTCAGGTGGGTACCTAAGAAATTGGTTTTATCTTGATTGACTTCTCACATTCAACTTTCTTATACACCGTTTCGCGATTACGGAATTCACCTCTGTGAATGTGAACAGGAAAATGATTTCCGTGTTCGATTTGTACTGCGCATGTTATTAGGGAGAAAAAGTTGCGTAATCAAGGAAGGCAAACGTGTTCGCGAAACATGATATACCATGACAGGAGTTTTCTAATACACTATTCACTGTACCAATTTCTCACTCCGGAGGTTTTCCATAGATATTCTTTACGTTTTTGTTGATGTAATCACTTGCTTCCTTCTTCCCCAATTCCTCGTTCTGTTATTCTTCACAGATCAATTGTACGAAAGCCTGTGCAGTAAAGCGCATGCCCTCCTGCATTGTTATGCGTCATACGAGGCCGAATTGAGTCGTATCTTTGGTAGACGTGGTCGTCCACTAACCGAGTCCCGTTCCATCTCAACATCACAAATCAGTCTATCCAGTCTGCACAATTCAGACACGCCGCGAGAACCCAGCGATCCGGAACAAGAACCTATGTTATGGACATCAAATCAGTTCGAGAAACGAAACAACACGCCCGCGGAGACGTTCATCCAGAACCGAAGCGACGCCACCTGTTCTGTCGCCTATCGTCGTCCATTGCAAAATGCGTCCCGCCAATGCGCTCGGAGTACGGGAACAGAGATTGTAAAGTGACGCGAAGCTAGACTGGTCCAGGACAGTCATACATCATGCACCGAAACGAATGGGAATATCTCGCTCGAATGCGTTCTTATTTTCCCATCGGAATATTCGAATTTCCGCATTTCTTTTCTCCATGTGGAACAGGGTTACTGATGGCTACCGATACCCTATTTTCTATTGCCTATTTGAAGTTCCGATCTATACTCCATTCACTGTGACTTCCAAACCTCTGGCCACAATACTCGCAATCTACAGTTGTTTTCTTCTCGTTTGTCTCTCCAGGTGTGTATGTGTTACGACCAGTTCGGTTTCCTTTTTATCTTTTGGTTACGATATCGTGCCATTTGTTTTGTATCCATTCCTTGTCCACGATATCCGGTTCGCCAGTGTCGCAAGATCTGTGCAATTGTTCTCGCCGCATGATCTGAAAACGTTCATCGATTTTGTTTTCACAAAATTAATGTCATTTCTCTTTCACATACACCGTTTCTCATCCTACCTCTCTTCCTACGCGATGTACGTCGATTCAGGTGTCTATCATCTGATTTGGATGTCGTTTTATCCGTGCCGTTCCACTCACCTCACGCCATCCGAACTATATCTGAGTGCGTTTGTGCGCATGTGCTCTCTAGCACCGGTCAATTTCCCGTTCTTCCGCGTTTTCTCATTCTTTTTTGCAGTATTTATTCCGCTGTTGTTATTATTACCATTATATTGCGTTTTTATCCATACATTTCTCGTCCCCATTTGTCCGGCAGTCCGATCGACGCACGACCGAAGCAGATGTATTTGTTTTGATTATTATTATTGGATGAATACAATCTGTGGAGCATTTATTGGCACACGGTTTTCTCTTTTACTCTGCTACGCTCTATTCTGCCCCCGTATCTCGCAGACAAAGGAGCTTATCTTCGTTTCGCTGGTTTGTTGCTGTTTGGTTAATCTCGTTTCTTTCTTCCTCCCTGAAACTCCCGAGTTCCTGTACTCCTTTAGCCCTATTCTCTGAATCGGACAGTTACTCAGTATTTGAGTTGGTTCATCGTATGGGTACCTCGCTCGAAAGTGCAGGGTTAATGGTGGTATTAGCTGAAACTGAACTGTTATTAGCCCATGCCATCAAGACAACTCACTTGTCAACCGGTTGTCTGTGGTTGTCGCGGTCGTCCACTAGTGGAAGTGATCGACCTCCATAGATTACGCTGGTTGAAACATAAGTTACCTATATCGCCAGATAGGTTGCCACGGCGAACGATGTTTGTCAAGGCTGGTAGCGATTGGTAAAAAACGAAGGGCGGTCAAGCTAAGGCCTGGCATGAGGATATGAAAACCCTAACCGGGAGACTAGGTCACATAGGCCCCGTTAGGCTCCCTGGGTGGGGACCTCGGGATGATGGTCACCGATGGTTAGCTACACTGAGTGATATGCCTGAGTGTCGCAAACAGTGGCGCTCATGCATCCACTCGTTATTTTCCTAACACCATTCTATATGAAATCCCCATCTTCCGCTTGAATTTGCTTCGACACACCAATCTTCATTTCGCTCTTTTATCCAAATGGGCAACCAAAAGACATCAACCAAAACCGGCGCACGAAAAGGGATGATTATTGGTTGTAAAAACTGTAACTTAACTGTTATCATATTCGGTTAAGTTTTGTCTGAAAAATGTTGGTTAGTATGCATGTTCCCTGAATATGAACCGATCACGTACCTCGATATCATTCAAACCAGGGTTTTGGTGAGGTGTGCACTCAATCGGCCATGCAACAATGACATCGAGAATTCTAAATGTTGTCCAATCACGTTACAACGTCTACTATGGTTGGAATAAACAAGTCGTCCTTCAGACCACGACGTTTATCCAATTCCCAACCCCTGTTATTC